GAGCCGCCTGCAGCTGCGCAGCCCTGCTGCTGTCCGTGGGCTGCTGCTGCCAGACCCCTACCTACCTGAACCGCAGCTCTCAGCCTATGTGCCCCCCCCCCCCGGGGCCGTGCTGTGGGGTCCCCTGGGGCTCACAGCTGTCCCTGTGCAAAGCAGAGCACAGCGTGGCTGGAGCTGGAGCAGTTGCAGCTAATGAGGCAGCGGGGGTGAAAGCGCTCTGTTTTTTCACCATCCATCCCTCCTGCCCGTCGGGGATGGCGCTCTGTGCCCTGTTTAATTGAATCAGCCCATGGCAGCCCAGCAGCTTTAATAAGGTCGAGAAGGCTGATGTGTGCAGCCTGGTTGCGGGCTGGGTGCTGTGGGGATGGGGACATGTGTGTCCCTCTTGCAGTGTCACTGTGCGCTGTCAGCCTGAGCCACAAGTAGGAGCAAGTTTGGGGAAGAGCTCAGCTTGGCACAGGGGTCCCAGGAGCCTGTGGCTGCCTATGGAACTTCTTCAGCCTCAGGATGGGAAATACCTGGGTGCTGCTTGTCCCCAGGATGTGCCCGGCATCTGCAGCATCATGGGGAAGGGGGAATCACTGCCTGCATCTCTCCTGGGCCACCAGTTGCAATCTTCCCATCCTTGACCACTGTCATTCCTCTCCGTTCCCTTCAGAATCATTGAGAATGTGGGATTCCTCTTCCTGCACTTTGATCTCTCCAATTTTCAGCTCATTCTGGCTGCCTTATAGGCACTAATCCCTCTGCAGGCATCGGAGAGAATCCACCTACACTTCATGCAGCAATCACTTAAGTCTTATTGTGTAAATAAAATCTCAAACACGAAATCCTTAATCCTTGATGGCTGAGCCTCCGATACCCATTCCTGCATGTCCTGCCTGACAGAGGGTGGAAGAGGGGAAGGCTGTGGCCGTGCTCACTCATATCCTGGATCGAGCATCCATGGATGCTTTTAACCCTGGGCTTTTCCTCTCTCCCCACTGGTCTGATCCCCTCCCCACTCAGTTGAATTTGTTCAAGCTCGGGGGGGGGGGGGGTGGGCGGGGGGGGATCAAGCCAGGTGACATTTGGAGTAGGGGAATATTTCAAATGCAAATTTCCCCTTGATAAATTGTGGAATTTGCTCCCTCTTATGAAGGAAACCTCTGGGGAGAGCTGAGCACAGCGGCCGGCCCGTGCTGAACGCAGACCTCTGCTGGAGGGGGAGGGAAATCACTGCCTTTCATTCCTGCTGCCTCTTCCTCCCTCCGGTCCCCACGCTCCCGGGCCAACACTTGGGAAATCAACATCACTGTCACCAGGAACGGGAGGCTGCTCAATTTCCCCCAACCACAGCTGGAGAGCAGTGAGGTAAGGGCTGTGGGGTCAGCAGGAAATCCTGCTGCTTTCTGGGTGCCAGGCAGGGAGGGGGGAATCATGGTGGCTGTTTCTATAAGCCCAGAATTGATGCTTCCCTCCCCGGCGATCGGGGTGCTGCTGATATATTATTGTCTCTCTCTCTCTCCCAGCTCTGAAATTAAAGCTTTCACCACTTTTCTCACTGCAGTGTGTGTGAGAGAGAGATTTACACTTTGCTTTCCCTTTCTGAAATGGAGTGTGATTTTCCAGTGGCTGCCGACATGGGGCCTGTCCTGATGCTTTGGGATGGGCTGGGGGGGGGGGGGGGGGTGGGGAGGGCGGGGGGCTGCTCCAGGAGCTGCTAACTTCCCCCTTAAATAGGCAAACGAGAGCATCTCTAGGGAAAAAAATTAAAAAATCTGATCTCTGCCAGCCCCATCCAAGATGCAACATGCAGAGCACGTCTGGTTTTGGGGATGGAAGGGTTTGGGGGGTGGGCGGGGAGGCAGAGGTGCTCAAAGCAACCTGGATACGGCAGGAGAATCTCTCAGGGGGGAAAGCTTGCAGCTGTGGGGGATTTCTGGAACTGTGCATGGGTTAAAGGCACCCCCAGCACACGAGGGCTGCAGAGGAATGCCGGCCCCTTGCCTGCCCAGCAACAGTTTCACCAATGGGGAGAATAACAACGGCGAGAAGTTCAGTGCTGTGCGAGATCTCCAGAGCTTTCCCTGAGCCCCTGCACCGCGGATATTGGGGCAGGTTGGGGGCACTCTGCAAACAAAGATGCTCTGAGGAGCATCCGGAGCCTCACAGATAAATGCCAGGAGAGGAGGAAAAAGGATTTGAATTTCAACTTTGATGCATAATGTGCTTTCCCTCAAAAAACAGCCTTCTTGGCAGGGACCAGGCAACTTCCCACTAAATCTCCTGGAGGAGCGCATTGCCAGTCGCAGAGATAAAACCTCAATGAAACATCATCGTGTTACCAAACTCACCTCTCCCTCCCTGGCCCTGTGTGCCCTTCACTCCTGCCTGGGCCCTGGGGATACCTGGATTTCTGCAGCCCCATCTGAGCTGAGTACCACGAGTGCCCTGGGGGGAAACCAGCCCCTTAATGAAGGGCCTAATCACCCAGCGGACTTAGCTCGACCTCGAAGCAGGCTGAGCGAGCGGAGAGGGCGCACAGCCCTCGGGGAGGGATGGTGGAGGGGGGCCGAGGGGACCTTTTTCCTTTTGAGCTATTTGCAGATCTATCAACGGCGAGAAAAAAACCCCGCAGCTCCGTCGGAACGCCTGTCCCCGTTGTCCCCGAGGTGTCCCCGTGTGCCCTCACTGCCATCCCCTGTGTGAGTCCCATCCTCCCGCTCAGAGGGCTCCATGATGACCGTTAAAACCAGGGCGGGGGTTCTGCTGGCCAGGGCATGTGGGCTCTATGGGGTCCCCTCTCCCGCTGAAGCTGCATGGTGAGCATGGCGGTGCAATGGGGCCATGTACAGAGCCTGCCTCTCTCCCAGGAATGAGGACAAATGACCCAAATGCAGCCTGGGGTCGGCACAGCCCAGGGACATGCAGGAGATGGGGATCATTTATTGCTCTGCAGTGCGATATGCGAGGAAAGGGAGCCCTGCGCGATGGGCATTGCTGCTGCCACGGAGGGAGGGGACTTTGTGAGCTGCTGAAGGAGAAGGATTTTTCTGGCTTGGCTTGTTTTGCTGCAGAAAGGCGGTTTCAGTGCTGAGGGTAAGGGAAATGAGACAGAAAAACGCCTCCCATTAAGCAAAAACGATGGAGAGCCCTGCGTAATGGTGCTGCTGCAGGGGCTGTGGGCGCTGGGTTTGCATCCACCCATCCTCACACCAATGCCTGCAGGGAGCAGCAGCACACACACCGTGTGCCACGTCCTGCTCCATCACCACCCCACGGCTGTGCCATCACGTCACTCTGCCTGTGCGGCGTCACCCTGCATGCATCCAGTGTTTGCTGGGTTGTTGATGGGCACACGGTGTGGGGCTGGTGGTCCTCAGCATGAGGGCAGCCAGTGCCAGGGTCTGCAGGGTCCTGGGCTTCCAGGGGACAGCTGTGCCATCCCCACTGAGGACAAGGGGTGTCAGTGGCTGGACGAATGGACACTTCTCTGTCATGCAGCAGTGGTGTCATCTTGGTGCGTGGGGACACCAAACCCTCGGGACCTGGGCTAATGGCACATTTCTGGGAGGTGCTTTGGGATGGGGGATGATATGGGACTTTGGGGACCGCCGCTGCCTGTGGGGCGGCAAGTGACCCGAATGGGGACGTGTTTCTGTCCTACTTGTGCCCTCTAGTGGCTCTGTCCCCTCTCCTGTCCCACGGCCACACGCCTGGTGGTCCCACGGTATGGAGACCTGAGACCTCAGAGCCAGAACTGTTTGGTAGGTGACCTCAAATGCATTTTATTGAAGAAAACCAAATGTTGGAATTTCTAAAACTGTTTGTTTTCTCTCTCCTTTTTTTTTTTTTTTTGTCTGCTTGGGGCTGCTTGCTACCTTTCCATCTCCTGTGTTCAATCACGAGAGCTCCAAAAAAAAGCCAACACTTTTTTTTTTTTCCTTCTTCTACTGATGTTTCTCTTTTATCTAAAAGGAATACAACAGTCCTTTGCTACACTTCTGGGAGGGGGGCACACCAGAGTGCCCTGCAGCAGCTCCTACATCCCCTCCCCACAGCCCTTTCTGTGCTTTTGGGTCCTATCCAGAGCTGTGGCTGCATCCCTACAGGGCCCAAAGGATAGAGCTGTCCCTGGGCACTTGGCTGGCAGGGGGATATTCCTATCTGAGAAAGCAGATGTTGCTTAGGAGCTTTCTAAGCGGTTTCTCCTCCCTCTCAGAATTGCTGCTTGGAGAAAGAATTTAATCCCCTTTTGTTGCACATATAGGGGAGAACAAAACCAAATGCCACCTGGAGAAGTTTCCTGCTGTTGTTCCGCAGGGCTTGGCACCAGGATCTGGATGAGCTGTCACTGCAGTGGATGGGATCAGAGGGTGACAGGTGCTGGCACAGCACAAAACCAGCCTCACAGCATCACACCAAGCAGCACCAGGGCTCTGCCAGCGTGGTGAGGGGCTGCAGGGCTGCAACCACACAGCTGTTATGCATTTTGGATTTCTCCCCCTTCCAGCCTTGTTAGTATTGAAATTAAAAACAAGTGCTTGCAAGTTGGTGGCTGTTCTCCAGGACCCTAATTAGTAAATCTCTTCATCCCCCCAGGGCTGCAATCTAATAATAATAAAAAAGAAAACACACACCAACCCCAAACAAGCCCCAAACCTTGTTTGATGGATCGGGAGTGCTACTGAAACAGTTGGGAGCGGCTCTTCCTGCTTACTATGGTAATTAAACACTTCAATTGCAATTATTTTTGCAATTAGATCAGTCTCTAATTGTTATCATAGGTGGCACAGCTTTGGGTGGGGTGCGTTTGTCAGATCCTCCTCCCCGAGTCTTAGAGGGAAGCGTGGATGCCGCGGGTGTTTCTGGCCTGGCCCGGGCTGCGGGTGCTCCGGAACAGAGGGGGGCCGGGCCGGGAGCCGCAAGCAGGGGGAGCTCCGAGCCCGTAACGCTGCTCGGCCCGGGGGGCGCCGGAGCCGCTCTGCTGCCCCCCGGCTCTGGGAGCGGTGCGCTCGGCTCCAGCCGCGTCCCTGCGGTTGCGCTGTGCGTGAGCGCGGCGGAGAGGAAGGGGTGAGGTACAGGGGAATGGGGGGCTACGGGGAGCTCTTCTCGAGGTAGAGTGTGCTGGGAGAAATCAATCGTGCTGTTCTGCCTCTGTGTTAAACGGGATTTTGTATGGCTGAGTTCTGCCCAGGCTCGCTTGCAGACATCCTGTTTTTGCAGACTTGGCGTTGAGCTGCTGCTGGGGAAAGAGCCTGGGGGCAGCCACACTGCTCGGCGGCTCCCGTGGCTCCGGGTCCTCTCTCCTTGCCGTGGGGCTGAGCGTGTGAAGCCCACAAAGAGCTGGGGACGCCCCAGTATCCCCGAGGTGGGGCTCTTCTTTGGACCATGAGGATGCTGCGGGGCTGCACGTGTTGTGATCTGGCCGTCGATAGCTCTCCCGTCACCTCACCCCCTCTGCCGGGCCCCCTGGGCGGTGGATGTTTCCCTTTGATGGAGCACCGCGGGGCGTAGTGCCGGTCCTGGGTTGGGCTGTCTGGCACCGAGGCTGTGGCTGCATCTCTTTTTTCCTGCTGTGCCTGAACCCCAGACCTGCTGGGGTGCACCCTGGCTCTCAACCCACTAACGTAGGGCTCAGTGCTGGAGGTGTCATGGGCCCTGATGGTGCAGGTTCTTCTGTGCTCCTGGTAAGAAACGTGGGCAGGCATAGGCTTTTCCAGCATCATCTGGGGAGACAGCAAGTGCCACGTGCCAGCACAGGGATCCTACAGGGAAACAGAGAGAGCGTTCAAAGGATGTGCAGGGTGCAGGTATTCACTTGCCCCACATTCCTCTCCCTGCAGCACGAGGGATTCTGCATTAAGCATCTGCTATGGCTGGGAAGGTCTGTGGTGCAATGCTGTGAGGATGTTCTCAGCAGAGTGCAGTTGTGTACTGAGAGCTGCTGAGGGGCAGAGCTCAGCAGTGTCACCCAAAGCTCATCTTCTGATGCTCCCTCAGAGGAGCTGTATGTTGCTTTGTGGCTTGCTCTGCTCGCTCTTCCCCTTTCTGTGGGCCAGCAGCAGTGCCTGTTTGTCACATCTGCAAATAACTGAGTCAAAGTGACACTTGTGGGCGTGCTGGGGTCAGCAGTGCTCTGCCTCAGAGTGCTTCCTCTCCCTCCTTTGCAGGTGGGTGCTGCGGGGCTTTGCTTGGCTCCTGCTGGGGCGCATTCAGATGGGTCCTCACATGAGGTGATGTTTCCTGTCCTCATTTCCATGTCACAGAGAGGAAATCTGTGGCCGCAGCAGGACCTCAGATCTGCAAACCTCTGCATAGATCGACCGTGCTTTGCCGTGCCGATTAGATTAGAAATCTCCTGAGGGAGATTGACATCTTGTCTCTGCCTTGCGGAAACTCAGTGTTGTTCAGAAGATGTGTGCATCACAGGGGGAAGGCACAAAGAGCACAACTGGCATTGGCTGTCCTGCTGGCTAGGAGGCTCGAGACACCCCCTGCTTGGGTTTGGGGTAATTTGTCCCCCCTGGGAGCAGCCTCTGTGCTGTGCTCTCCCCATGCTGTCACCTCTGTATGTCACACCCAGGGACTCATACCCCAGTGGGGCCCCATACATGGGGCTGTCAGCATGACCTTGGCTGGGATGTGCTCCTCCAGCCGCAGTGTGTGGGTCACCTTATTTTTCACCCCCTGGGTACAATCAATACAGGAGAGCCCAGGTTATCAGCATGCAGTGTTTAAGAGAGAGTGTGTGGAGGTCGGGATGACCTTGCCCAGTCCTTCAAGAGGAGGGCTGCACAAAGTGGCTCTCGGGAGCTCAGAGACAACCCATTGCACAGGGGCAAATGGCCATATCCTCTGCCCAGTGCTGCTGGGGATGGTGGAGATGCCCAGTGTCAGTCTCCCAACTTGGGAGTCCAGTCAGGTGGTGACTCACAGCACTGATGTAGGCTTGCAAAAAAACAGTGCGCTGGAAAGCTGCGATCTGGCACAGCTGCCTCTGCAGTGCATAGTGGCTGCTCCCAGCATGGGCAAGGGGAGCTGGCAGTGTCTTCCAGAGAATCATGAAGTGTTTTTTGTACCCTCACACTTCAAGAGCAGCTGGGGAAAGAGAAGGGACAGCTCTGGGCAGTTGCCCTGGGTTTGGAGAGCAAATGCTCCCAGAGGGAGGGTGTACCTCTGGTGCCATTGCTCCCCGTACTGCTGACTTCTGGGATGGGATGGCTAGACCCAGAAAAATGCAGTGGATGTCCCCATTCATTAAACACAGCAGCACCCTGAAACCCCAGCCCTGTACTCACCCTGCAGCCCTTGCCTCTGCTCTCAGGTTTCTCCCCAAGGGAAGTCTGGCTGTGTCCTTTCAGCCTTGCAGAGTGCTGGAAGAGGGCAGCTGGGAGAGGAGGCCAGGAGATGGGGTGGCTGAGGCTCACGGGAAAGCTCCGTCACTGGAAAGAGTGAAATTGCACATGGAGATGTAAAGAGGAGATAGGTTGGTGCCAGTGTGGGTGAGCCTGCAGGCTTTGCTCTGCACGCACCAGTTGCTGCCTGCATGAGGTTGAGCCCCTGGGAAGGAACAGGATGTGGTGGCTGGGACAGGAGCCTACATCCTGGGACAGTATTGCTTTCCATTTCTGCTTCTTTAGTGAGTTCTTTCCCTGTTTAATGTGTGGCAGGGGGTGAGGAGTTGCTGCCCTCCATTGCAGTCCTGCATGCTCCCCACTACCCACAGAATTGCTGCCTGTGTCACAATGGCTGTGGTGCATGTTTTTTCCGTAGAAGTGATGGGGCTGACTCCTGTTCCTGTGCTTGACATCTCCTGAGACCACTCATGTTTCTCTGGTATGTTTGCTGGTCTTTCCCTGTGCTTCGTAATAGGAAAAAACATAATGGGCAACATTTCAAAATGCTTTCCCCTGAACAACCCCATGGGACTGCTCTGGGCAGAGCTCTGCTAGGCTCCAGTCTTATTTGGGGGGAGATATGGGTTTGTGAGTGATATGTGCTGCCCTGTTCTGCTAATGTGGCTGGAAGAGAGGGACCAAGAGAGGGACCATGAGGACCCTCAGAGAGCTCAGGGTGCCATTGGCAGTTGGGGTTTGGGTGACTCCTGCATGGTGTTGGGGTCTCAGACGCCCAATCTGTGTGCATCCATGATGGGGAAGGGGAGAAGTGAGAGAGGCCCATGCCATCCTTGGTGCATCACTTCCAGGCAAGTGTGCAGGCAGATAAACAGGGAAAGTAAAACCAGTAACTCAACCTTCAGCCCTCATATTGACTTTTATCTGATCACAAGCAGAAACCACAGCAGTGATGCTGTCTGGTATGGGAAAGAGTTGTCTGGATTTAGAAAGGTCAAGAAACATCCCTGTCCTTGTGTCTTCTCCTCTGCTTCCAGTAGTGCGTGATATGTGCCCCACTGCAGCACTGCCTGCTATTCAGCCTCTTCCCTCCAGTGTTCTGCTTCATTTGGGCACAAATCCAGAGAGGAAACATTTATTTTTCCTGCTGGAAGGAGGTGAGAGATGCTCACCTTTTTACCGGTCTCATTCACATGCACTCAAGTGTTAGGAAGGAGCCAAACCTGCCCAACTGACTGAGCCCCAGCACCTGATCCAGCCTATTGCTGGGCCATCCCCCAGTGTTCTCTGGCCTCCCCTGGGTATGGGCTGTAATGCTGTGCAGGAACCAGCTGGTGTTTTGCATTGCACAAACAATTTAGTTAAATAAAATCCCACGTGCTGCTCTACAGGAGCAGCGCAGGTTTCCTTCCAGCCCTGTCTGTGTCTGCAGAAGCATCTTTACTGTTCCAGGCATGTGCCTGAGTGTGATACAGGCTGAGCCTTTCGCACCGCTCTGCCCTCTGCTTCACCTCCCTGCTTTCTCCTTCCTAAGGCTTCACACTGTGCTTTGGAGACAGCACCAAGGGCACGTGCAGCAGGGATTTGAAAGAACAGCTTATCGGTGGGATGGAAAGTTTCTGGGCTATCAGGGGGTTATCAGTTGCTGCTGCCTGGAGGTTAGATTAGGGTGTGGGAGCAGCAGCTCACATCGTGGCACAGCATGTGTCTGTGTTCTCCTTATGCTCAGGTGGGCCAAGGAGGTGCAGGCTGGTTCCATGAGATGGGGGTTCCTGGGCACAGTGCTTGCATCCTATCTGTCCTCCCCACTGCTGCACCCCTTCCAGGGTCCTGCCCCTGGCAGTGCTTGGGGTACTGCTGGGGGGGCTCTGTGTGTGATTCTTTGTGTTCTAAGAAAAGTTTGCCAACCTAATTTTAGCTATTTTTGCTCCAGAAATGGGAATGGAACTTGCTGTTGGCTGTGCTCGCTGTTGGGACAGACTGAGAGCGGCAGTGCTGGGTGTCTGAGCTGACGGGGTCCTGGGGACCAGCAGCGTGACTGCGGAGAGGCTCTTACCTCTGCAGGGCTCCATCTGTCAGCAAGATGCCCTTCCCATTCCTCATCTCCAGCTTCAGGCATTTCCCCTCCTGTCCATCCAGGCTCTCCCTGCAGCTCCTGCCCCAGGGCTGACCCTTCTGTAGGGAGTTCTTGGGGTCCCCTGTCCTGCAGCAGTGCAGCAAGTGCTGGTATGCCACCTGAAAATCTCTGTTGAATGTCCCGTAGAGGATGGGGTTCAGTGCTGAGTTGGCATAGCCCAGCCAGAGGACGATGGACATGGGTGTGCCTTTCACACTGCTGTCCCCCCACACCCCTCTGTATGTGAACACTGTGAAATAGGGGAACCAGCAAATGATGAAGGCTCCCATCACCACTGCCAGAGTCACAGTGGCTTTGTGCTCCTTCACCATGGGTGGCATGGGGCTGTTGCTGCTGCAGCACCACGTGTGGTTTATCCTCTTGGCTTGCTCCCTCGCTATCTTGAATATCCGGTAGTAGGTGACGCACATGATGACCAGAGGGATATAGAAGGTGAGCAAGGCATCCACCAGTCCGTACACAGAATTCACCTCCAGCTTGCACTCCCTGGTGCAGTTGGGTGTAGTGTTCTGAACCGTTGTCCCATTGGTATTCCACCCCAGGTGGATGGGGAGGAAGGAGACCATCAGTGAAACTGTCCAAATAACAACCAGGGCCACAGCCACGCGGGATGGGGTGACCAGCTGCTGGTAGCGCAGCGGGGTGGTGACGGCGAAGTAGCGGTCCAGGCTGATAATGAAGAGGTTGAGGATGGAGGCCGTGCACAGCATGACATCCAGGCTGAGGTAGATGTTGCACAACGTGCTGCCAAAGGGCCACTCGCTGGTGAGCTCATAGAAGGCGGAGAAGGGCAGCACCAGCAGGGCCAGCAGCAGGTCAGTGATGGCCAACGAGACGATGATGCAGTTGGTCAGGCTGCGGAGCCGGCGGTCCAGAGTGACGGCCAGGCACACAACGATGTTACCACAGAGAGTGAATACGATGAGCAGGGCCAGGCAGGACCCGACCAGCAGCTGCAGAGGGAAGTCCATGTTTCTTGAAGGGTTTGTGAGGTTGCCACATGGATCCATAGTGCAGTTGCATGGGTGGAACGGTTCTGCTGTCAGTGGTTCTATAGATGCTTGGAGTGAGCCTCTACCAGGCAGCCCTGGAGTTCCTTCCAAACCAAATTTGGGCCTACAATGGTCTTGGAGATCACAGTGGAGTCCCCTTCACGCATTCAGTCTGCTGAGGTGATGTGACCTAGAAATGATGTGCCCCTGCAAATTTCTTGTGTGACCCAGTCCATCTGGGGCTGGAGCTGATTCCTGTGGCACTGCTGGTGGGTGTCAGCTGTTCCCTTCTTTCCTGCAAAGCCCAGCAGGGTCAGATGCTATGGGGTCAGGTCCCACGGGGTCTCATGCCTGCCTTGTTCTGTGTGCTTGGGTCAGAGATGATGGCCAGCAGTACTCGTCAGGGACAGAGCTTCTTTATCTGAGGACAGCCTGCAAAGAGAGCACCAAGTCAGGGCCATAGGTGGCAACAGTCCCTTGGGCAGCCCCTCCAGAAATGGGGTTTCTGCACCTCTCTGGGTGCCCTGGATCACTTAGACCTGGACTGGAGAGCTCTTTGGCAGCTGGGGAAAGCAGACCCTGCTTGGTGCCTGTCACTTTGGAATGCCCATGTGGTGTAAGGGTGGTTTCAGAGGAAAGAAGTTCCCACAGGCTTGTGATTTAAAGAAAAGGGCTGGATTGAAATGAGGAAAGAGCTTTCCAGAGGGAGCAGTGCACTCCATTTATACAATCTAGTAAAAGTAATCAGCCCTGTGTGATTCATGAGGTTTCACAGCTGAACTTCTTAAACTTTGTGCCTGTAACAGCACTTTGAGCAGTCCCATGCCTTGTGCTGATCCCTGATGTTAGCAACCACATGGCTCAACCAGCTCAGAGAGACTTCCCATTGCTCAGAGGCTCCCGCTCCCCTGACCAGAGCAAGATCCAGAGAGGTGCCAGATGCTCCGAGGGGAATTGGGAGCAATGAACCTGTGGCCCACACTGGGGCACTGGGATGAGGGGTATGGGGAGCTGGCAGAGTGGCTCCTTGCCTCCTGCTGCAGTGCAGGCTCTTGCCATGGAAAGCTCTTTGTTCAGGCACAAAAGGATCGTGGCATAAGCTGAGTGCTGCCTGCCTGCTGACAGCAGCCAGGAGAACAGGTTGTTCTCAGAGAAGGGTATTTCCAAGTGAAAAGAATGTTTTTCCTATTGCTCCTAACGCGCTGGAAATGGCAGGGTAAATTATAGGGGGAGTAGCAGGCTTAGAAAAATGCAGTGGGTGGATCACAGCCTCCCGTGTGGCTGCTCTGCCACCCACCAACAGCCGCTCCTGTCCCAGCTCACGTGAGCTCAGCTGAGGCTGTGCTCCTGGCCCAGCACTGCTGCAGGGCAGGGGTTCTGCTGCCTTCCTGGTGCCGCATTCACAGCAAGGAACCTGGTCATGGTGCCCATGCCCAGTGGTGCTGGGTGGGACCCTCCTGGCAGGGTCTGCTCCTTCTGCTGTATTCAAAGCCCTCTGTGCAGGCTGTGCTGTGGGGCAGCTGATCCTACAGGCTGGGTCAGGAGGAGTTCTGCTGCTTCTTGCTTCTCCCATTAGCTGAGAGTGAGGAGTAGGACCTCTGTATTTCTTAGGCAGGGAGTAGGAACATTTCCAAGTGTGATATGGAGCTGCCATCCATGGGGATGGAGCACCCATCTGTGCTGAGAAGGGATGGGGCAGGACTCGTGGGGTTGGATGTAGGATGCTGCACCTTGGGCTGGTTCCAGGCACGGTGCTTGCAAAGGCAAAACCTAAACTCTGGTAGGAGACTGTCCCATATTCTGTACATGGAAACATTCCCCACTGGCACGCTGCTCTGCAGGAGGAGTGGCACTGCATGGCAATGCATCCTGGCCTGGACCTTTGCCTTTGGTCCCTAAGCATGTGAACTTGTGACAGGTTTCTTTTGAATTTTAGAACCTTTGGTTCATCTCCCATAGCACTGAAGTCCCTTGTCTGGTTCAACAATTCTCCTAAGATTCTCACCAGCACATTTTCTTAGGGAATTTCCATGTTCTGAATCAAGATCACTAATGAAAGCTATTAAACAAAAATGTGTCTTCAGTCTGATCTTTAAGGAATTCTATTAATAGCCATGAGTGCATTAGCTTCTCCTACTGCAGCACACTACAATCTTCCCCATCAGCTCGTCCCTTAACCTTACAGTTCCTGCAGTAATTCCTGCATGAATGGATGTTTTCTGTTCTGTGGAAGCCTGTGGACATTTGATCGGTTTTGTTCCCATCTAAAATGCTGATTATCTTCTCTAGGGTTGGGGCTGTGGTTTGTCTATGGGAAATTCTCATTCACTCTCCCTTCTTCCTCATCCCTCGCCTATTAGCATAATTTCTTCTGGCACTGCACGTTTGGGCACTTTGAACACTTTTGCATGGAGGGGATGGGGTGTTGCACCTGGTTCTGCAGTGCCAGTAACGTTTGCTGCTCTCCATTAATGTATTCCCTCTTCTGGCTTAATAGGTTTGTGGCAAATTTATTAAAAGCAGACGGACAGGAGAGAACACTTGCGTGTGCCTGGACATGGCAGTGGGTTCAGGGAGCATTTCCAGGTCCCCAGATCTGAGAAATCTCCCTCTCCTGCATTAGAATGGAGCAAGGTGCTGGGACACGTCACTTATGGGCAAAGCTGATTTCCTGACCTCATAGAGCTCACAGCAAGGTGTCACGGCTTTTTCCAAAACTGTGCTCAAGTGTTTAATCAAGAGATTAAACGCATGGGTTCACCAAGAGGTGCCTGTGACAACGCAGTGCAGCAGGGAGGGGATTTCTGCTGCCCCTGAAGAGGATGTTTGAGGTTTGGTGGTGGGGAGCAGGCAGGGCTTGGAGGGCACGGGGACCCCAGCAAAGGGCTGTTCCCATCTGGTGCTGTCAGCGTGCCTCGCTGATGATGTACAGCAGCAGTTGCTTCCTGTGGGGTAAGCAGAGGGGCTGGGAGGCAGGAGCTGATCCCATCAGGGCTGCCAGCCCTGGGAGAGCAGGGGCTCCGTGTATAGAAGTGTTCAAGGGAACCCTGAATGCAGACAGCCCAAAGAGTGATGCAGAAATAGGCAGAGAGCCTCCAGCATTTCAAAAGTTTGCTCTTCAGTGACTGCATGAGAGGTGAAACTGAAAATAGAAGCTGGCGGACATGATTTTTAGCTGCAGAAGTCAGAGCAGAGAAACTTGGATTCAGCTTTCTACTCAAAGCCCACAGCTGGGTTGGGGCACAGCATCTCTCTGGTCCTGGGGGCAACATCCCCCTCTTGTGCCCGGGTATCAGTCCAGGGGAGCAGAGCAGCTGGGCCAGGGTTGGTATGCTCGGAGGAAGGGCTCAGGCAGCTCGGGGAAAAAAGTTTACTAAGGAGCAAACCTCGTGGGGATGCTGCTGGGGAGAGGCGAGCGCGAGTGCCGAGGCAGGGCAGTGCTGCTGCCCCGTGCCACCTCTCTGACCCTGCTGCTCCCCCTCTGTCCGCTCCCACCAGCAGAAGCCCCCAGGCTGCCCTGCATTCCGGGCAGGGCGTGACAAAGATAGCACAGAACATAGAACGCAGAGCGGGGCGCGCTCCCACCCACCGACCCCTCTGAGCTCTCGCTTAGAAATGCCTTCAGCAGTGGAACAACCAAGAGGAATAAAAAAGGCAAAAGCTTTACCTGGGAGCGGCGTTCTGTAGCCCTGCAGCAGGTGGGAGCGCCGATCACCGCGCGCCGGAGCAACTCGTGTGCGAGCGGCGGCCGCCTGCTCCCTCCCTCCTCCTTGCCCACCAATATCCAGGCAGCTCGCTGACTGCTCCGTGAGTCACAGCGCCGGTGGGTGGGATCAGAGCCCTGAACTCAGACTCCGAGGTTACTATCCAGTCCAAGTCGAAATGCAGGGCTGCCCTGAGCCGCGTGTGAGCTCTGCCGGAAGCATCCTCTGCACGTGCGGTGTCGCAGGGAGCCAAGCCAAGTGACGAACAGCGCGGGTGGCTCTCTGTGCTTCTGGTGTCTTTCATTTGTGGGTTTCCACGAATGCTAACTGCTGGGCCAGCTGTGTCTGGAGCTGCTCCCCCTTTCTGCTCTCCCTCTCGTGCTGGGCTGAGAGCTCCGTGCTGCTGGAGAAAGTAATGCTGACCATTTCCATGCCTCCCCAGCTAGCAACCAAGGGACTGAGGTGTCACGCTGCTCACCATGTGCACCCTGGGTTCCCCATGCTGGATGGAGCTGGGTTGCAATCCTCACCTCCATCCCAGCCAAGCAGAGACCCCAGCAGCCCTGGTGCACAAAGCAGAATGGCCTAGGTGTGTTCGTCTCCACAGACCCAAACCCAGCTTTGTGTTTCACAACCTGGGGGTCTGCTGGAGCTTCAGAATGTTATTGCTGGGCAGCAGCAAGGTGGTGTGCAGGGCGGGAATGCTCTGCAAAACAAGGCTCAAATCTGCTCAGGAATGTTCACCAGCTGAAATCACTGGGGTGTTGACTCCTTCTTCCCCTCGACTCTGCTCAAGTAGGGATCTTTTGGTCTAGAATCTGTCTCAGGATGGGACGTGCCCTGTAGGAATATGGAACTCTGATTATGGGGACAGAATCCCCCTCCAGTCGCATTGCCCTAATCTCTTCCAATGTAACATTCTTGCTGCCTGGGGGCAAGAAAACCCCACAGGCTCAGAGCTGAGCAAGCTCCATCTTCCCTTGGAGAGCTCATAGGAATCAGAGCTCTGTGAGGATCCAGCAGCCCCATGGGCAGGGACATGGCAGCTGGTGGCTGAGCCACTGCTGTATCACAGCTGACACCAGGGCTTGCCAGAGAAACTCATGGACTGGGATATTCCCCACATGGGCCTCCCCTGTGTCTCTAATGAGCAGTTTATTAAAGGCCAAGGCAATGCTGGGAACTGTGTGTTGGGAAATTGCAAGTGAAGTCAGGGAAACTTTGGGACTCCAGGAATAGAAGCGTGAGATTTGGCAAACGCGGGGGCTGTGGGAAGCTCTGATGCGAAGCTGTGCCTGAGGACTAATAGGGCAGCATGGGGCCAGGGGTCCTGCTGGGCTCCAGCCATGGCTGGGTAGGCCAGCACTGTGCAAATGGGACTTGTGCAGATGGGCTGCTTCCTCTATGGATGGGAGAGACTGATGGCTCACTTTGATCATCAGGACGCACAGCACAGCTAAAAGATGAGGATCTCCCAGATGTGTTCAAGTGGTTATATACATTTGGAGTGCCACTAATGCTTGCTGTTCCAGGAATACCTTTGTCCCCAGGCACCTCTGCAATACCGAGACCAGGGAAGAAAATGTTGCTCGAGCCTTTTCCGCCCTCCCGGATGCCGCAGTGCCGATCCCAGTCAGACCCAGCAGGATCCCATCTGCTGTGCTGCAGTGTCAGACTGAAGGCACAGCCTGTGATGTATTCCTGTATGTTCTCATAGTGCAGGGAGAGGATGTTAGAGGTTTATTTCCAGTTTGCTGATCCTAAGCTGTCCAGGCTCTGATGAGGACTGGAGGGTGCTGGATTGCTGATATTAAGCATCCTGTAGATGGCTAAGGGCTACATGTTTCATGTTGATTGAGGCAAGCCCTCAACCCACCCTAGTGCAGCTGTCCATAGATGACACTTGGGGCAGGCACCTATTGGGATGGCAAAGCCAGCTGTGACCCTGGTGGAGGCTGCAGAGCTCCATGGATGAGGAAGAGGCCTGGGGAATGTGACCTCAGAGGAAAGCCTGTAGGGTTCTGCAGGAGCAGGCACTGTATCCTATGTTTCTTTATAGTTTTGCAAGCGTGAAGTAGGGCAGGAACCTCCCTATCCCTGAGAGGAGAAGCAGCCAAGGGCTTAGTCTGCAGAAATGAAGATTAATTTAAATTTACTCATGGTGAAAGTCACATGCTGCAAGGAATTTCTGAAGGAAATTAAGGGGTCAGACTCAGTCTCAAAGGCAGTCTGGAGCTCAGCACCTGGCATTGCCTGCACACAGCCCCTGTGCAGCCACCGGTGTGAGAACAGCTTGGGGTGAGGGTCCCACTGCCTGGATGGGGTCACTAAAGGGGGGCTGAGGGGCAGCTCTGGGGACACTGCCATGACAGCACCAGGTAGATGGGTTGGGGCCATTGCACTGCACAGGAAGGGCACAACGAAGGCTCGCAGGAAGCACATATCCAAATATATATATTTTTCTCTTACACAGCCTGGAATGAGGCCAAAAACCTAGGGCTGGAATCTCTCTCCAGACAATTAATTATTGTGGAGAGACAATTTGTTAAGCAAGAGAGGCTTTTAATTTGCAAGAGCTCATCTATTCTTATTGTATCTTTTAAGCTGAAGGAAGCGGAGTTGATCAAAATAGGCTGGGAATAGAAGATTTTAATTTAGAGGCTATGTTCAATGTGCTGACAAAAATAAGAAACGGCGTTCTCAGAAGAGCATGCTCCCCCCAAAACCCGGCTGGAGCCTGCAGGGAGTGCTCAGGAACAATTCAGATCATTAGGAATATGCTTGAAAAATCTTTTAGCGAAACGCAGCTGGACTTGCTCAGAAAAGGACCATCCTTGGATCTGTGGGGTGAGCCCTCATCTTTCCTTTGCACAGCACTGAGCTACAGCGCAAAGTACGTGGCAGCTCTGTAATGCGAGGTGGTGGTGAAGGAGGGTGGGATGGGTTGTGGGTGCCCTATCCCTGGAGGTGCCCAATGCTACGGATGGGTCCTGGGCAGCCTGAAGTGGCTGCCAGCCCATGGCAGAAGCTGGATCTGGGGGGGCTTTGAGGTCCCTTCAACCTTATCATGATTTCAAGAGAGATGCAAAGCCATCTGCCCGGTCTCCTTGCACTTGTTCATTGAAAGTAGCTATATTTAGAAACCTTTGTGAAGTTGTACAGTGGAGCTTTTCAAAGGAATGTTTTTTTTTCTTTTTTTTCTTTTTCTTTGAAACAACTTATTTAGAAATGTATGCTTGTTATGTGTGCAGTAGATTAGGCTGGGAATGGAAGCAATAACCTTTCCTGCCATGGTTCTGAATGCGTCACCTACAAACATCCCAACTCATCTTCCCAATTCAATGGGAGTTTTGGTAACTCCATGCGCAGAAGTCATTTCTTGTCTAGTTTGAGTGCCGCATGAAATAGCCACTAACTGGAAATGAGATGCTGCTTTGTCTCTCCAAAATGAGCATTGTGCCTCAGGCTACGGGTCCGTGGGAAGGAGCCTTGCTGCAGAAGTTGCACAGCGGCTGGAGAAGAGGAGCCAGCCCCCAGGCAGTTCAATTGGAAACAGAATCAACTGTGAAAAGAATAATAATCTGTAATGAAGTGAAGGCAAAAGGGAAAGAGGGTAGAAATTGAATTAGGTTTGTGCTGGTTCCAGCAGTCCCCTGTGGCCCCTTCCTGGCTGGAGGGAAACTGGGCTGATGGGGCCATTCCTGTTGGGGTGCAGGAGGGGGAGAAATTCAAGGGTAAATCGCTGCAGATCAGCAAAGCACCACTGGGCTGTGCAGCAGGAGCCCATGTGCAAGCAGCTGGGGCTGTGAGCTGCTGGGGGGGACCGTTCTGTTGCAGATGAGGCATGTCGCAGGCGCGAATTTCTGCTTAGCACAGATAAGGATTTTCCTAGAAATATTGAGAAACCAGATGGCAGCTCAAAAACTGCAGTTCTGGGAAGGAGAGGGTAGTACTCACACGTATGACAAAAGCATCATTCGTGACAACCTGCCCCACACCATGACCCATGGCCGGAGCTTGCTGCCCCCTGACTCCTGGTGGCAGAGGATGTGATGCTTCCTACTTCCACCTCTTGTCTTCTCATGCTCTCTGCACACCCACAGGACATTAGAAATAGTGTGCTTTTGTTTTGGATTGAGCTAAGCCTAGCTTTAATCCATGCCCCATCCTTCCTGTACAGCAGCTCCATTTTTTCTTTCCTTCTTTTCCTCTGATGTGTAAGGCTAACACTTCTCTTGCTGTTTTTCTTCGCATCCTCTGCAAGAGCCAATTCAGCCTGACCTCTGCCAGTTCTCCCTTTATGCTTTGGGCGTTTCAAGACATGGGGGTAGGCTGCCCTTCTTCCTTTGCAGCATGATCTCTTTACCCTCTTCCTTATCAGCTCTCTCCATCTTTTCATGTAGCTATTTCCTTAGCTAGCACAAAAGCCTTTCCAGGGCTTGAAATACATGTCTCAAAGATTGGGCATGTCCACTTTTGAGAACTGAATGGGAATGGAAAGCACTGCCATTGAACCAACCTAATGTGCTGGTTTCACAATAACAAGGTCACATATCCCACTAGTTTCATGGTGCTGCTGCTCCCTTTTTTATTTGTTTTAAGGGCTGCTGTGAAAGCAATACCTCCTATTTTACCATATTTGCCCACGATATCAAAGGCAGAGATGTTGGTGGGATGGCAGTGGAGTCTGAACCTTCCTACCAGTGTGCCACTGCATGTTGTTGCCATGTGACAGGTGGCAGCAAGGGGCAGTCTGACACCATGGCGTCTGACATGGATGTACAGATGAAACAAAGATGGGTAAATGAATTCCTCAGTGAGAAAAAAAATGGCACCCATTGACATTCGTTTCTGAACATCTATGGAGACCAAACAGTGGATGTAGTGCAGTGAGGCTGTGGGTACGTTTCAGCAGTGGGGACAGTGACAGTAGGCGCAGGTTGATATGAATGTGGGTCTCGTTTATCACTGGTGAAAATGCATCACTAATGGTAGTGTCTGTGTTGAAAAAGAGTGTTCTGTAGCTGAGAATTTGCTCTACTAAGTAGTGCCATCATGCAGTTGTAATTTCCATGGATACAATTAGGAGGCATTATTTTGGGAGGAACCTACATAGATGTGGACCTAGGCAATTCCTCTTCACTCAGTGCAGCCCAGTCAAACCAAAACGTTGGATGCCCAAAGGTGCCAAGCCACTAAAGGAGCTCTGTGTGCATGCTCCAGAGCTGCTGCCCAGCTTAGTAACAAGTCCCCCAAGCACAGCGCTGCATAGGGGCTGTGCAGAGCCACAAGGGCAGCAGCAGCACTGCAGGGAAGAAAGCTCCCAAGGATCAGGATGGGAGCTGCTCCCAGTGGTCTATTTTTGTCCTGTTTTCTTCTTATTCTGGGGAGCCACCATTACAGAGTGATGTTCAGCCACCGTCCTGCTCTGCTCCCTCTGTGAGCTTTGTCCTGCTGTTACACAGAAGGGGGACATGGAAGGAAGCACCACCTGCCCCTCCTCTTGCTGCCTGGTTTCCAAACAGGGCAAGCAGCATGAAAATCAACCATGGCCATGCTGGAGGGCAAGGAGAGAGCATGGGAGCTGTGTGGGATTTGGGGCATGTGGATCCCAGAAGAATCATTAAAGAAGGAATGGTAACACAAGGCTAAGGGCAGCGGGAGAGCACTGTTTTCTTTGGCCACATGTAAAACAGCAAAAGAAAAAGGAAGAAAAAGGAAGAAGAAAAAGCAAGGCCAAAGCCCAAAGATTCTGTTCAAACACTAGCAGAGTTTTGGACAGCCCAGCTCTGGGATTTGGAACTGTTTCCTACCCAGTTCATTACTGAGTTGCTAATTAGTGAGGACAGTTTCCTGTTAATACCCAGAGAGAACAAGGTCCCCTCTAAAAGCCCAAAAGCTGGGCTGGAAGTGTGGCTGGGAGCAGCAGTGAGACTGCAGCATCCTGTTCTGCAGTGACATCCATGGGTCCGGCTGCGGGAGGAAACATTCATCTGTCCTCCAGCAGCGTTGTGCTGAGGGGCTGAGGGCCCCCATCACCCAGAGGAACAGCAGGCTGAGGGGCAGTGACTCAGTTCCTATGCAGACCTCCTTCCTAGCCCAGCTGCCACAGATAGATGTAATGGCTGCCACCACGATGCGATGACCCTCCCGCTGCTCTTGCTCTGCAGGGAGGACTGATGTCCTTTGGCAGCTCCGGGGCTGCAGCCTGAGCCCAGCCCTGATGCTGAGGGAGCTCTGATGGTGCAGGAATGCTGGAGCAGACATCACTGGAGCGCCGCGGGGTGGGAGATGTGCTCCATCTGCTCAGGATTAGGAGAAACATCCACAGACCCAGCAAACAGAAGTCCTTCACTTTGCTGCCAACACAACTTGTTTTTCCAAGGCATAACTGTTGCCAGAAATCTACCGAGTCAGGACCTGGCACTTCTCTACTTCTAAAGAAAACTCACCCCAGTTTGCTTTACCTCTGGTGAGAAGAGCTCTTGTCTCCAAGAATAAAATCAGAAAGAGAGCAACCTCTGTTTTCCACTCGTTTAGTAACTGATAAGTGGGGGGATCACCTTGCAGGGGCTGGCAGCCTGGCTGTGCTGCATGTGGAAATCTCATCCATGCTCACCAGGTGTTTTAAGCATCTTTCCAACCTGATGATCCTTTCCTGGTGCCTTAGGCACTGCAAGCAGAATGATGAGATCACCACCACCGGCTCAGCAGCATTCTCATGTGGAAAATTCCCAGGTAATTTACCCAGAGTGGGATCCTCTGATTTGCTGACATTCTTCATAAACAGAGGCAGACATGAAAGGAATGAAAGCAGAGGCACTAATTTGGAAACTCATTTTGCCTAACTGCTCACAGACGTGGTAACGGTCAGCAGGGAGCCCCAGTGATAAATAATGGTTGTTGAATTCCTGAATTGGCTGTAAATTGGCATGAAGGATGGCATCCCCTGCACGAGGCACAGCTCAGTGAGTTACTCTGCACTACATCCTCTCCAGGTGAATGCAGAGGTAGCTCAGGCTCTGTGTACACTCAGGAGAGTGGCAGCAGCTTCTCCTCCCATGGGTACAGGCCGTGATTTATAAAAGACGCTTGTTTATTTTGAAATGTCTCTTCTGTATGATAAATACCTTGGAAATGTCGCCCTGTAAGTGACTCCGCAGAGATTGGCCCCATTGGAGCCTTTGGCTGCAGCTTTTGGCTGCACATCCTTTGGAAGGCTATTTAAGAAACATGTCATGTTAGGCAAACTGTTTGCAGGCTGAAGCCATCCAACAGCAATGAGCGATGAGTGCTTCATGCACCAGAAGATGTAAATCTTCCCTTAATCCTGCCTGCCCTGTGGCCAGCTTGTTCCCAGCCACTCCAGGCTCAGTGCTGTGTCCCCTAAGCACATATCATCCCAACTGCTGGGCAGCAGTCACTGCTCTGTGTGCATGGAGAAGTGCAGGTGGGCAATGGGCAGCTGTGGTACACACACTGAGCATCACAGCATGGATTCCTCCATAGCATTGGGAACAAAACTCCATCCTGTCTGCAGTCTCTGGCTCTCAGAAAACTGAAGGCAGTGTGAAGCCATCAGCTGAAAATGAGTCAATGACCCAAAAGCTGCAACTGAGGACACAGCCCATAACTATAGATGTTCTGACGGCAGGGTCTGCTTCCTCTCCCATGCTCCCCCCATCTAGGACTGATTTCTATGAACTCAGGGATGGCCACAAGAGCAGTAATTGTAGCCAATGTGACTTTTCTAAGCCTGTCCCTTCCTTCAGCTTAGGCTGTAGCACAGCTTTACAAGCCAGAAGGCTGATGTCAGGATTGCTTCATTCAGCAATGTTGGGAACGGCTAATAAACACTACTAAAAGCTTGCTAATAGCTTTAATTAGGCTGCAGCTGATGCTTCATAAGTGGTTCTTTTTCCTCCTCCACCCCTTCCTTACAGCTATTTCCTGGTGGAGCTCAGGAAGGTGAGGTGCATTAATGCTTTTTGGGGAGACACAGCTGTGAGATTACATTTTTGGGTGGCTTTTATGTTTTGTAGGGATCTCTTATAGCATCCTACAGCTTCTGCCTGGGCTGGCTGAGGTGCAGGTGGGATATTCACCTTGCTGAATGGGAATGGGCATAGTGTGGGGGTTTGACAAACCAGAGGTAGAATGAAAACATAGCTTTGAAGAGCAATTTACCTTCATTGCTGCAACCCTTCCTGGCTGTCAGAACCTGCAAGCTGTGTCCTTCAAATCATGTAATCTTTGTCCCTCCTTGGATGAAAGAAACTGCGATAAAGGGGTTTGAAGAAAGAGTTCACCTTAAAGTGAAAACTTTGTTGTTGCTGTAATTCATTTTCTTTTTTTTTTTCTTCTCTTTTTTAACCTTGAGGGTTTCCTGCAACAGCAGTGACTTACACATTGAGGCATGAAGCTGCCTTGTGGCACACAGGGCTTGTAAGCAGCTTCAATGCCAATGATCCTGGCTTTGAAGGTACAGGGCCACACAGGTCCTCAGAGTCCATCACCACCCACCACCTTTCATGCCCATCATCTCTGCACAGAAGCTGTAGGTCCCTAAATACACCCCCAGCAGCCCCTGACTCAGAATATCATATGCTGTGTTTCTCACCTAGATGCTCTGCTTACAGATGCTGGCTTCCTTCTATGTGTGAGCACGCCTGAGCTGTAGGACACTGTGGGCTCCTGCTGCAGCATCATGGAAAGCACTGATCACCACATCACAGAGTGAGGTGGGTTGTGGAACCTTTGTGGCAACCAAGGCTGCAAAGCTGAGGGGTTCTGCTGCTCTTTGGCTCAAGGATCCTAATTCTGGCTCTCTTAGGCTTTTGAGTATGGTTCTTATAACATGTGTGAACATCCCATGGGGATGTATAAGCCTATTTTGAAAGCATCTTTACTTCAAGCCCCCACAGAAATCAAACCAAACATACTTTGGAAAAAACAGCCATGCAGCTGACTTGGAAGTGGCTCTTGCATAGTGCTGTCATTGTGTGCAGGCAGATGTCCCCAGCTTCTGTGTCCTTAAAAGTAAGAAAACACAGCAATAGCATGAGTCGATCTTTCCTTCTTACAGAGATCAAAGCAAGGAGCAGGTTGGATTCTTGTGGCAGTGATGGCTTTTTGAGTGATGCTCAAAAACCTCTTATGGAAAAAAAAAAGGAAAATAAATACAAGCTTCTGATGGGAAAGGAAATAAGTACTGTTCCTCCCACAGCCCTGGGCAGTGTTTGCAGAACCTGGACTTGTGTGTGTGGCTTGAGCTGAGGGACCCTATTTTCCCATGAATAACACATGGGAGGAAACCAGTGTGGAAAGCAGAGGGAAGCACAATGAGCTGTACCTGTGCACGTGAGGGCAGGCAGTGATGGTTCCATGCAGCGCAAGTGTTCTTTCCCCACAGTTGGGCTGCTGTGAGAGCACTGCATTATTTCAGCTTCAGCATCTCCTTGGGGTGGCAGTAATCTCAAGTCGTGTGCGTGTTTCTCAAGGTGCAAGTGAGGTTTGCAAAGAGGAATAGGAGGTCTGCCTATTCATTTGGGAAGAGGACCGGCCAGATCTGGGACTAGCATGGGACAAGGTTTTTTTTCCAGCCACAGGGCTCAAAGCATAGGGGTTAGTTGAGTTCTGAAAGAAAAGTTGAATTTGTTGTGTACGGTATTTGGGACTCGAGGGAAAAGCATTCCTTGAAATCTGACTAAGGACCTGGCACATCTTTTTTTCCTGGTGACGGCGCTGCTGACCTCACAGATCTGAGTGCTCATAGCTCCTGGCATCCCTTCCTGGCTGCTCGAGGATGGCTGTACTGCTGCCAAAGTAGCATCAAATATAACTCATAGGGTATCTGATACCTGGAAGAGATGGGATTTACTTGAGAGCTTCCTGAGGGCTTCCTGTGCTTCTGGGAGCTCTGCTGCCCAAAGGGGCTGTGAGGAGGCATGGAGCTGGCTGTGGGTTTGCTCTGTCCCAACCCCTACCCATGCTGATGATGAGTGCACGGTGCTGGCTGAGATGTTTCAGCAGCTGCTTCCTGATGGCTGGGATGTGGGGGCTTTGTGACATTTGGAGCCTGCAGGGGTCTGAATCATCACCCCACTGCTGTGGAACCAAGAAGGTGCTCAGTGCTGCGGGAGGCTGGAGAAGCAAATGCTTCCTTTGGTATTTTGTACCAAACAATCTATTGGGAGCACATCTGGTAGAATTGCTGTACTGACTGCGGGTGAAAAAAAAACACAGATCAAAGTAAGCAAGTTGGTACATGAAAAGGATGGAAACTTTTAGAGTGAATATCAGGGAAAAAAAGAAGCCCTGGGTGTGCTGGAAGCATATGCTGGTTCCTGAGATCTGGATTTGTGCTGTTGGCAAAGGCAGAGCTATCTGCGTGCTCAAACCTTGGTGGATGTATGGGTGTTCTGGCACCTTCTGCCCTGATTTTGCAGGTCTTTGAGATTTTAACAAGCTGCCCATGGAAATGGTGGCATCCTCATCCCTGTAGGTGTTCAAGAAGTGTGGAAATGCAGCACGGTAGTAGTGAGCATGGTGGGGATGAGGTAATGGTTGGACTAGATGACCTTAGAGGTCTTTTCCAACCTGAATGATTTTGTGATTCTGTCTTCTGCTTTAGGGAATATGGGTTTTGATGGCATTGGAAATTGTCCTGCATCTGATTCCTCACACAACAGAGAGATCCCGAGGAACTCCAGCTTTCCCATTCAGTCTTCAGTGTGAGCCACGAAGGGGGGAAATGCTGTTCTCAGAGTTCCTCAAAACCTGCCCTGCATGTTCAGAGCAGTGCCCTGGGGTGTGCAGAAATAGAGCAGCTGAGGACTGTGTTGTGGTCAGGAATATCAGCACATTCCATGTGAAAAAGGGCAGGAAATGTTGCAATTCAGAAGTTCCTAGGAAACTGTGGAAAAGGAAATCCTTGATGCTCCTGTTTGACTCAAGGGAACTGCTTTCTTTAAAAGAGATGGAATTGTAGAACATTCCGTGTTGGAAGGAACCCATGAAGGTCACTGAGTCCATCTTTTAATTTATAGGTTTGGTGAAATATAAGAGAACAACTCTGAAATGGAGAAATGATGGGGAAAGTCCATTTTTACAAACTGCCAGTGGAAAAAAAAAAAAAAAAAAAAAACAGAAATGTCAGGAGGAAAAAAATCCAGCAGACTTGAAGCATTTCCATAGGAAGCTTCCATTTCATCAAAAAACTTCTCCTGGGGAGAGAGGTGTGGTGGGGAACCCCTGGGCAGGGGTGTGCAAAGCAGGCAGGAGGACGTAGGGAAGGAGAAGCCTTCACTGCCGTGTCAACCAAACAGATATAAATCAACATAAATCACTGTCCCGAGTTTCACATCCTAAAAACCTTCCATGCCTTTCTTTTTGGAGACAGCTGCATCCCAGGGACTGGAAACTGCCAGAGCCTGGCAGTGAGCAGGCAGGGTGATGCAGATGGGTTTTTCAACCATTATTCAGATGTCCAAAGAGATTTTGACAAGGTGACATTTTGCTTCCCTGCCCAGACCCTGTGCCCATGGGAAGGCTGCACGTGTCCCAGGCTGCTCTGAGCTGGGTCTGGCATTAGAGGTGATGCACGCTGTGCCTGGCACCAGCCAAGCCTGTCTGATTATTCAGGGGAGAAAAGGAGAACAGTGCTGAGTGCTAGTTATTAAAGCAGGCACCTGTGGATCCTGCACAGTGTGCCTGAGCTCTGCAAGCCCACACAGGTTTGCACAGTGCCTCGTACCAGCAGGCAATATTGGTGTTGTATCTCGGGTTTGGACAACATAATTATCAGCACACTACAACCTCCTGCCTTGGTGTAATGTGCTGCCAGGGTTGCATTAGAAACAGGAAAAGAGGGGAAATTAAAAAAAAAAAAAAAAAAAGTTGTGTTTCCAGTGTACAGACAGTAATAGAGATGTTTGTATGGCGGTTGTGACTGGTGTAATCTTGGTTGTTACACAGATATAAGTGGGATTTGAAACAGTCAAAGATGCCAAAACAAATGTCAGTGAGATGGATGGTCTATTAGGCGCAGCTCATTTGAGTCACTCGTTGCAGGGAAGATTCTACCCATTTTGTGATAAACCAGCAGTGCTGCAAGAGAAGAGATGGGTACAGTCAGCCTTCGGCCCCAGCCTGGGCTGCTGTCATCCCCAGTGAGAGGACACGTGGCTGTGGGGACAGCAGCCCCAGTGAAGCAGACTGACAGTGTTGAGACATGGCTATCTTCCATGCATGTGCCACGTGCCTGGTTGTCTGTCTGGGAGCAGAGGGCACTTTCTCGTCTCCGGCTATGGCCTCTGTGTGACATTCAGAGGAAGCCCTAATTGCATGCTGACTGCAGTGTGTGTGCGCTCCCAAGGCTATCTGGTGTTTGTGAAGGGGAGACATGCAAAGCTGGTTTCAGAGCCAGCTGGTTTATATGCTTCTGCTAAGTCAGTTTGCTGCTGGTGGAACTCTAATTGACTCAGCTGTGCTGGGCAGCAGCCTCTGTACATCCACCTCTTGCCCGTGCTCCCATTGCTCTGCTGGAGGGGTTTTCTCTCACGCTCTTTTTGCTGGTTTTACTTCTTACCCTGTCATTGCTTAATTCCAAAAGAGAAAGGAACCAGAACAAGAAACTTGAATGGAGAGATAGATGAAGGACTCCTTTTGTACCAAAGATCGTTGGGAATTAATTTGATGTCCTCGCCTTGGTGCAGTCCAGACTTCATTAAAGCATTTGCACAACTCCTGGCAGCTAAGCGTGTGGTGGAATAATTTCGGTCTCCCGAATGGGGAGATTGAATTGGAATCTGCCTTTGGGTTTGGCTGGTCTCATTTAGGAAGTGTTTGTGTTGCTTGCCGCTGCACGGAAGGGACTCTCTGTACTCCTTTGCATAACAAAGCGGCGCGCTCCATAGCAGGGCATGCAGCGGCGAGGCGGCTGCGGAGGCAGGGGACCCTGCTGAGGGTTTGCTGAGTAGATGGAGGAGTGGGAAAGCAATGGGACAGTGCTGGTGGCTGTGAAAACAGGATCTGAGCTTGGCCCCGAGGTCTCTCTAATGGATAAATAAATCTTGGAACTGGAGCTAAGAGGATGGAGTTTTCATGGGTTATGTTGGGCTGAGCACACGGTGCTCCCAAGGGCCCTCATCTACCTCACGTGCACAACTGTGTGGCACGCAGATCCTTCTCTGCTGGTTTTCCATCTGGAGCAGCCCAGTATGTTATGGTGATCTGACTGGGACAGGCTGACCCAGGAAAACCTGTTCTGCTCTGCCATGTGCTGCCGATGCCTGGGCTCCCCAGGGAGCAGCCCGCTGTGAGCAGTGCCAACGTGTGACTGAATGTTGTTCTCATTAGGAATGGTGGGAGCCTGTTGGGCTGCGTGAGAGTGGCCAATCATAATAAACACATCCAGGAACTTAGCTCCTTGGTTTCTCTTCAGTGGATAAATGATGTGTGTATACCATGGGTCTGCTGGAAATCAGTCTGCCGTGGTTTTGGGGGGGATGGCTACCTGCTAAAATGACACTGCGGGAGGAGTTGTTCCTGTTCTGCTAATGTAGCAAGCAGTGCACAGGTCCTGACGTGCATTGTGTCTGCCTGGAGAAGCTGTGGGTGCCCCATCCCTGGAGGTGCCCAAGGCCAGGTTGGATGGGCCCTGAGCAGCCAGCCCACTGCAGAGAGTTGAAATTTGGTAATCTTTAAGGATTACCCTCCCAAATCAAGCCATTCTGTGACT